CCTCCCTCATAAAGCTTTAGGGACGGGACAGTGGAGGCTCTCAAAATTGGAGTTCAACCTTTTTTCTTTTTCATATAACGCTTAACAAATTTGAAAGGACATGTATATCCTTGGAAGTACGGAAGCATCATGTTATTATGACATGGAGGGTGTACATCCTGTCTTAATGGGTGTTAAACACTAGGACGGGTGCCACGTTGATGTACGTTAGAGTTCATGATGAAAGATCTTAGAAGGAAAAAAAAAAAAAAAAAGTGTTTTGGCGTGCAGATCGACTATTGTACCAATTGAATTGTTGTTCATTAGTCAACTTATGAAAAAGAAGTTCTAAAACGACTTCATAGGGGAAAATAACTCGTCCATTTAAGTTTCTATATAAGACACATGATACGTCACTTTCTATTTTAAAAGTGACATACTACTAGTATTTTCACTTCAAAAGTATAAAAGATGTATAGCAGTCTCTAATATGTATTCTATTCTATAGCTGTTGTTTGACCCCATTTTGGAGTAGAAATATATTTTAGAATAGTGAATTTTTGAAAAATATGTAATTAAAATATTAGATGTTCTCCAAAAATTATTTTTATTTTTACATTTCGTCCATAATTTTTCTCTACGTTTTAATAGCATGTTCTCCAAAAATTATTATTATTATTAGGTTTTTTACAAAAATCCATTCTAAAAAAAAAAAAAAAAAATCTCTACTAGAAAGAGGCTTTAACAATTATGATCGTAGCTCTAATGAGCTAATTCCATTTGAGAAAATAAACAAAAATAAAACCTTAACGTAATGGTAGCAAAAAATGACCAAAATTTTTTTTTTATTAATTTAATATAATTTATTATTAAACCCTAAATCGTTGGCATTTGCTTTTAATCACGAGGATTCAAGGGCACTCGGGTTTTGCTTGAAATCTCATATTCACTTGGAAAAAGAACCATGCGTTTAAATTTAACTCAACTTATCAAGATTAACGTAAAATTTTTTTGAACCTTAAAATCTATTCTAAAAACTTAATTCAACTCTTTTTATGCTTGTTACTAGTCAATACAGAAAGGTCTACGTGGAGACCTCATATGCATACACATGGCGAGCACCCAAGAATTGGTGCAAAAGGGACTAACGTCCGAAACTGTCAAAGGAAGTGTCGAGGTCGTTGCACTAAGTTGATTCAAAGTGGTTCGCCTTCTACCGCCTAACCACCCTACTATCTGAAGTCCTCGACAAACAGAAGAGGGTTGGACAAGCGCGTCTCCAGAGTTGACTGATGTGACATTCGTAGTTAATAAGTGTAAGAAGTGTCAGCTTAGCTTATAGAGTGAGTAACCTCTTGTCAAAAGTCTATCAATGTAATTAATAGATGACAGGGTTGATGTAACAGTTAGGGTCGACAGATCAAGCCACGTGAATCTAATCCTACGGTGATCAAGTCGGCCCGATCACTATAAATAGGAAATTCTTGTATACAGTGAATGGAATGGTATACTTGCGTTGTCTACTATTCACTTTCTTCCACAAATATTCATATTTACAGTAGAAATACTACATAATTCGTACACGTGTATATTATCTTGTATCAACACTTGTCGATCATTTTCGAGGGTCAACAATGCTCATACTTCAAGAATATTTGTTGAGAAAGGCATAACATTCTAATTCGTGTTCCATGGTATCCCAAATAGTTTGGAGACTAGACAAGAAGGAGACAAATAAAGAATATTAATCTTTAACTTTTCAAACCATTTTGGTATGCAATATCGATTATCTTTACAAGAAATAATAGACATATTTTAATTTCTTTTTCTTTCTCTATCCTACTAATAATTAGACTAAAAATAATAATGCTTTTAGATATAAAATAGTATTGAAGTTTCTCAAGAATCCATTATTAGCAAGCTGCTTGGTGAAGTCATTGGCACTAAAATGGGTTTTCTGTATACATTTTTCAGTTAGCTAATTGGCTATCTATCACTCACTCACCCAACATCTTCAAGTCTTGCATTGGTTCAAAAGTATTGTACCAACTCTGATTTTGATACGCGAAATGGAGACAATTTATCGACAAAAATTCTTACACAAGATACATGAGACATAACATATGTTTTCTTTCCTCGGTTGGTTCAACCTTAACTAAATAAACAACAAAAAATCGTTAGGGACTTCACTGGGTGTCTATTAATTTTAACCAATTTAGTTCATCTGAATAGAGATAAAGTCATTGACCACAAATTTTTTTAAGAAACAATATAAAGCAGCAGCTTCTTAGAGTAATTAATTAAGGATCGGTCTAGGGAAGTTTTTGGAGTAAACTACTTTAATTGATATTGAGCTCCTATTTATTTCTCTTTAATTCTCAACTTATTTTCAAGCATATATTCATACAGTAAAATATTTTGTAATAATTTAGTTAAGAGTAATGCTATTTGCAGTCAGTTACTATCGTAGTTGCCTTATGTGACATAAATGTGGCGGATAGTGATTTGATATATTAATATTTTTATTATTATCTTATGCAATAAATAACTAATCACCACATATATGTCATGTAAGGTGACTGCAATAGTAAGCGACTGCAAATAGTATTATTATTTAGTTAAAGAACAAGTTGAACTCTAGTCATTTATTATAATCGAAAAATTAGTCCCGAATGACACTAAGCGACCAATAATTTATCGGTGGTACATAGGGGGTGTACCTAAGCGTGTACACCCTTCTCACATGTGGGATCCACTCGAATAAAAAATACTTATTCGAGCGGACCCCACACTCCATTTGAGGGGGGTGTACACCCTTAGATACACTCCATTATGTACCATTAGATTAATTCATAATTTATTTACCTTTTTAATATCACTCTAGATGGCATGTTAGACTCTAATCCTTTATTATAATAAGGAAAAATCACAAGAAGTGATGAAACGAGTAAGGAAGATAAAGATCGTGATGTTCAAACTGAATATTTTAGCTTGAGACAAAAAGCTATTTTACGTGAAAAAAAAAAAAACATTCTACCCAATTATCAAATTAACCTTGAATGGACTATCTCATCAGGTTTCTCAAACTAATACTTCTGCTCTATGATTTGTCAGGGATGGATCCAAAAATTGGATCCAAGATCGGGCTATAAAATTTCAAATCTAGCTGCTATGCGGAAAAAAAAAATTTTACACATAAAAAATTGATTTTTTATCAAAAAATAAAAAATACCTTTATAAAAATTTTGTTGGGCCTGAGGGGGGGTGGGGCACCCCCCCCCCCAAATCCGTCCCTGTGATTTGTAATAGCAATCTGTATATGTAGTTCAATTTTTATATTAAAGTCATCACCGAATATATAAAAAGTTTTTTCATGTGTATCTTGTTCTTTAATTCTATATTGCCTTATCTAAAGTACCTATTGGAAGTCGATGGGTTGCGAGTTGCCTATGTGTTTTCGTCCTACCCATATAAATATATGGGTTGGGGGGCTGAGTAAACTTTTGGGGTACCACCCAAAGCTCCATGCATATAAGTAGTTAAACGCGCATGACACTAAGCGACCAATTATTATGATCGAAAAATTAGTCCCAAATGACACTAAGCGACCAATTATTCACCTTTTTTAAAATCACTCTAGATGGTATGTTTTTTTACTAATAAAATTAAAAGATAGTACAATAGAAAGAAACATACATTTCACTAATTAACCAAATATTCGTTTTCGTCATTTAAATTTTAGGTATGGGATAAAGTCATGAAGCATACCTTAACTTGATCAAATTGGATATTCGAGATCGATGTAATGATTTGGCACATATTTGAACAATTTTCATAATTAAGAGCTAATTGTATAATTATAACACAAAGCAGGAACCTCCTTTTCAAAAATAGTAAACCAAGTTTACTGATTACTGACAGTGCAATAGATTGAGGACAAACTCTGCAATTTTTTCAAAAAAATAAAATAAAATGAAAATAATATTGCCAGAGATTATGCTTAAAGTCTAACATGTGCTTGGGTCATTGTCATTAGGGACTACATAATAAATGATTGACTTTGACAGCTACCAAAAATTCACTACCGATGATGGAATTAGCAAGGCAAAATGATGCTTTCATCATAGTTATACTTACAAATATTTTTTTGTATCTACTATCTAATTTTTATTTATGTAGTAGCCACCAAATGTGCTAGAGATCGAGTCATAATAATATTTTGGTGTTAAAAGAGAAGACATGACACGGCTCTTTATACAAGTCGTTCATGATATGATATGAGAATTCAAACTAGAGTCGAGTATTCAGACTTGGATTTATCCCTTCCATCTCATGTCATGCTAAAAAAATTTAGTATTATTTTATGATCCTTGCAATTAGTACAAGAATACAAGTATTTGCTTTATCATACTTAAAAGTTACTTTTTAGATAAAGTAGAATTCATAATTTATTTATTTTGAATCACAAAAAAAGTAGTGAGTCTCAATATTATAAGTACTTATCAACCAACTCAAAACATATGAAATGAAGGGAAAAAAATATACTCATAAGAACATATTTTATAATGCTTTTTTAATTGCTTATAAACTATAAATTCTATCAAATGCAATTGTAATAAGTGAATAGTAACTATGAATTTTATCGAAATGTATGAATAAAAATATTTGAGTAGCCTAAAAAGCTAAGCTTTGACAAAATATTCACCCGAACATTCAAATTTCATCAGTAGGCCTTTCAACAAGCAATTACATGTCAGGTTTAGCTCTGAGACCAATTTGGTGAAAATTAGAATTAAAATTAATATCATCCATATATTTTGTGGGATTTCTAATTTTTCAATCACATATTTCACCAATATTTATCAAAGTTTACTAAAAATTTAATTTTAATCTCATTCTAACAAGGGTTTAAAAAATAATAATACTAAAATAAAATAAAATTGCCACGTGGAAATGCCAAAAAGTATTAAGAAAAGTCAAAGTCATGCAGTTTACAATTGAAATAAACAATTTACTGCTTATTGCATTCCAATTACCCGCCATATCTCTCTATCTCCATTTTGTTACGCGTCATTTTTGGCAATGAAAAGTCCATCGTTTGGTGGTGGCCGGCGCCGGAGTTCTAGCTCCGGCTTACCGGAAAAGATGACCCACTCGCGGAGTTCCTCTAATTATTCCACTTCCACTGCTTCCAGCTCTTCCCACAAGTCAACCACCGGTTCCACTAAGAACCCAGTCAAGAACGCCGCCCGTTCTATGGCCGACGCTTTGGTGTCTTGTTTTACTCCGCCGGAGACGCCCAAAAACTCCGGAAACTTCAGCGTTTTTTCAGGTATGTCATCTGATTCGTGTGTTTTGCTGATATGTGTTTGTGATTTTGTCTGAAGGCAAAATATGGTTCTTGACTTGACTAAGTCTTTGGTAATATGCACAAGATATTTTCTTTTGGTTTGTGAGATTGGATTTTTCTGGTCAGCTTTTTTCTTTGTTCTTCTTTTAGATTTTTACTTATACGCGGATTTTTATTTTTATTTTTTCATTTTTTGCCATTGATAGGATGTTACTTGAATGGATCAGATAAGAAATTAGGATCTTCTGTTAATATATCTTTAAGATGCATTATTTTTCCTAAATTTATTTGCTTGATTTGTTTCACAGTGCTTTCATGTTGGCATTTGCTTTGTAGCCACATGTATAATCTCGAAACCGGTATAGTTTTGAACAAAGAACTATTACGGGATCTAATTCCTCTATCTCCATTTGAAATTCGGAAAACGGTACTTCGAATGGCATTGGTTTGGTCTGATATACAATTTCCAATTGTAAAAGTTATATGCCGAGGAGATCTAAGGAAGTAATCAGGCAGTTGCATATTTTGATGGCTGGATTTTTTCTTTTGCATTTATGCATCTTTGGTCGGAATGAATGCATAGGACTCTATAGTATTATGTTAGAAAAAGTTAAAATCTTGTTCATTATTTTGTTATCAAGAGCATTGTGTACCAAACATGCACTCAAGGGCTAGCAAATTGCATACAGTATTACGTATGAAGCATATCTAAGATCATTTTCTTGATATGAACCTAAAGAATCCCAAAGAACTTGGAGTATTCCTTTTTGAGAATCAGAAAAATTTATGATACATTGTTACATTGAAAAATCAATACCTTTTTTATATAATGGATTAGAATAGAAGCTGAGGTGAAGTAACCACTTAACTGATCAATATTTAGATAAGTCGGATGCTTCAAATTCTGGAGGCAAGAGGATAAGTGGCTTATATCGGGGAATCTATGGTAGTTCCAGCAATTCAACGTGCAGGGGAGAACCGGGGAGTACTAAATTCACCATTGAAGAAATCTACAAGGCCACCAGAAACTTTTCGCCTAGCTTCAAAATTGGACAAGGTGGTTTTGGGACAGTCTACAAGGGTCAACTCGAAGATGGAACTTTGGTTGCAGTTAAACGTGCTAAGAAGGTTGGAGGTCGACAAAAATGAAGTTGCATCTTAAATTAACAACATCAAAGTTACTGACACCATTATTATTGCTATTTTGTTTTTTAAGGTTCTTCCTTCTGTGCAGATTGTCTATGATAAACATTTGGGGACTGAGTTTCAGAGTGAGGTTCGAACACTGGAACAAGTGGAACATCTAAATCTAGTAAAATTTCATGGTTATTTGGAGCACGGAGATGAGAGGATTATTGTTGTTGAGCACGTTCCAAATGGAACCCTTAGAGAACAGTTGGACCGTGAGTTCTTTCTCTACCTTATTGAACAATTTGCTGTCATTTTCTATGATTTCATTTTACGTCTTAAATTCTTCATCATGTTTTTCTTAGTTTCTTTTTGTGTGATTTAGTACGTGTTAAAGATAATGGAAGATTTCCATAACACACTCATATACTTTTAGAGTTATTTATAACATTTATTGTATCTCATTCTTTGTAATTCCTAGACATAAAAGATATACAAATCCTCTCGCCCCTCTGTATTTTGTCTCAAATATATTCTCATCTATATTTTCTAACAGTGATAACATGTAATTTACTGATCTAGGTGTGCATGGTAACGTTCTTGATTTTGCTGCAAGGTTAGATATTGCAATAGATGTGGCGCACGCAGTTACCTACCTCCACATGTATACAGGTAAATAGACGGTAGCAGCCTTGTTAATATGGTTCTTCGATGTGAGGAAATTTAGTTTCTGTAAATAAGTTGCATTGTATGTAGATCATCCCATTATCCATAGAGATATCAAGTCTTCCAACATTCTTCTCACGGAGAACCTACGAGCTAAAGTAGCTGACTTTGGTTTTGCTCGGCTAGCCGCTGACAGTGAATCAGGAGAGACACATGTTTCGACCCAAGTGAAAGGAACTGCTGGCTATTTAGACCCTGAATACCTGAAGACCTACCACCTCACAGAAAAGAGTGATGTTTATTCGTTCGGTGTATTACTAGTGGAACTAGTTACAGGCAGGCGTCCGATTGAGCCAAAACGGGAGCTACAGGAACGGATTACTGCTAGATGGGTATGACCGTCTCTTTTACCCTCTCTCTAATGAGTAAAATTGCAGTTGATGATGGCAACTATTGAACATGCTTGTTGAACCACCTCATTTAAACTCTATCAACTGTGACAACCAAAAATATTTATTTTACTATTTATTTAAATACAGTCTTCAATGCACCATAACATGCGGGATTAATTCATATTTTCTTTAAAGAGGCCTGACACATGCACAATTTTCATATACAGGTTGGGGCGAGACTTGAACTCAAGACATTGCGTGCTCTAATATACTATTGAACTAACTCATCTAAAGGCTTAAACTATTAAAGAATGAACGCTTTTGTATATTTAAATTTAGTTTTCAACATCTACTCAGATGATTTCTTGAACAAGAACCTTTTTTGCTATACCTCGACTAAGTTTAGGTCAGGCACAATGTAATGTTGGTTGATGCTTTCTGTGGTTGATACGAATGGATTTTAAGTGCAGGCTATGAAGAAGTTTTCTGATGGAGATGCAATCTTAACTCTGGATCCAAGGCTGCGGAGGTCTCCTGCAAATAACTTTGCAATGGAAAAAATTCTTGAATTAGCCTTGCAATGTTTGGCTCCTCATCGACATAACAGGCCTACCATGAAGATGTGTGCGGAGATTCTCTGGAATATACGCAAGGATTACAAAGAATTCTCGACTTCAGATACACCTTCACTCTCTTCGAATGCTCAGAGAAGTAGCTCAATCAGACAAGAATAAGCACCATATATATGTGATTTTGGGCGAGTATTTGCATCGCATAACTTGATTTCATTGAGATGCATGGAGAAAATACTGCAAGAGCAACAGTCTTAAAGTAGAACACATTGCCACAGTGCAAATCGAAGAAAAGAGAGCATTTGAAGGTGTTTGGCCTATTGCAAAGATGTTGGAGATTAGATCACGATGTTTGACTTCTGCATATAGGGACGGATTGCATAATATAGGGAATTGTATATGTTGATTTGAAAAGTATCTTTTATATATACATTCACTTGTGGAAATTGACTGATTTGTTGAATTTGGTTTGGTTTACATTTTGTGATTATGAAATTGTTTATGTTGATTTGAGAAGTATCTTTTCCATATATTCATATCTGAAATTTGATTGATTTGTTGTATTTAGTTTGGTTTACATTTTGTGGTTCTCAATTTGGCTGATGATTCATGAAAGGACGGAGGACTATACGCACCTGCACTATAGCCAAAGGCATACAGGGCCTCGAGTTGACCCTTCGCCACCCATAGTACTTATAAATTTGAGTCATGCTACACTTATAAAGTTAGGTTACAAAGTTGGGTTACAAAATAACATCCATACCAATCATTTCAAAAACAAATTTTTAAATCATTTCAAATCAGTGGCCTACATTTTGCCAACACACTTCACTTTTGTAAAGCTACTTTGTAAGAGTAGCTTTATTTTATAAATTTAGTTGGGCCAAAACTAGTGCGGATGCGAAAATAGAATTCTTGAATCAAGAATGAAGTTAAAAAATAAAATAAATAAATAAAAGTGCCTGCATAGGGAATAATTTTGTTGTATGGATTTACGATAGAAAAAGTGTACAAAGCCTTTGTATGTATATGCGAAATTATCCCCTATTCTTACTAATACAAGGAAACTAAAAAGGAAAGAAACCAAAATCCTAATCTAAAAGAAAGAAAATCTTATTCTGATTAATAGAGAAAAGAAATACTATTCCAAATATTAATAATAATAATCGACTATTTATAATAAGAAAAGAAAATCTTATTCTAATTGAATTACATCAACGTTGAGACCGAGGGAATCCAAAAACAAAGTCCATGATCAAATATTGTCAAATATTCTATGGAATAGGTAAATAAGTATAAAGGCCAGTATTTTGTGCTTGGCCTTTAGCCCTTTGACATAAGGGCAACGTTGAAAAAATCGACTAAAATTGACGCAATTTACGACTAAACTTTGATGTGTAAAAAGCATCGGTAAAAATTATTATTATTATTCAGCAA